CCTACTTCAGAGAGCCCGGACAGAGTGGTGTAGCTTTCCTCTCACTATCTAAATAAGGCCCCTAACAATGTTATCACTTTTCAAAACACATCTGTCCCGCAGCTCCTAGCCCAGACAATTGGCAGGTAACCAGTTAATAAATGTCTTCGCCAGACTGTTGAATAGGCTGGCCCTGGCTCAACAGTGATGTCAGGGCCATTCAATGCGCTATAATTGGAAAAACCTGGGGAAAGCAATCCCATGTTTTTTAATAAATAAAGAGCGTATTAGCAGCCTCCTGCTTTTATTCACCACGGTGTCTACCTTGTTCGGTAGCAAAGTGGGAATTCTTTTTCTGCTGCCGCTCGCTCGGTGATTTCTACTTGGAACTTGATGCCAGTTTCCAGATGTGTCTCAGGCCAGGAAGTCAGCAATCAGCCTGGATAAAGCCTCTGGGATTAGCTGCAGATCATCTTCTGACACACACATCCTTCCTGCACCCTCTCTTATGAAAATGGGGCACACCCCTCATGCCCAAAAATACAATAAAACAGCCCAGAGCCAAGCAAAAGCCCCTGATTAGGACACTTTGATCACTTTCACATTAAATATGTGAGAATATATTTAATTAATTCAATCCATCAAAGACCCTGAGGCACCATTTGAGAGATCTTTACAACACCTGAGTGTTTATATACATAAATCACTTCAACAATTGCAGCTTCGCCTGGAGCAGCCCCAGGCGAAGCTCCTCACCAGTGGTACCCACGGGAGAGCATCAGCTCCCCTGGCTCGGCCACAGGACGCCTGAGAGGGATGAGTGGTCCAAAGGACTCATCCTCAAGGGAAGAAGTGAGAATAATAACTGGGTTTTCTGGGCTCTGTGTGAGCAGCTTCGGGAAGCTAAAACCCAAGCGGGTGAGATGAAGGATGTGGTTTGCATGGAAAATAATCCCAAGCAGAAGCACCCTGACAGTAACGCGCCTTTTCAAGCCTCCCCGTGTCCCTGGGAAATGAACTACCCGGGTTTCCCAGCTAGGAGGAGAGGGACTCAGCCCCAACGCAGCCTCCACGCTCGCGGTACCAGATGTTGCAGGACCTGGAGGGGGTGGGGGGCAACACAAGGGGACCCAATTATTGAATTCCCAACAAAATAATTGATTTTCTTTTTCCCCAGGCATTTAAGAGGCTGTTGTCAGGCTTGTGTTGCCATTCCTTTCATCTCCCCAACAAAGTGCAAACAAATTAACACCAGCTCTCCCCCCAGTAACTGCCCCCCCCCGGCCCAGCAGTGCGCTCCCGCAGCCGCTTTGCTTCAACGGGGCACCTGAGAGCCACTGCCAAAACAGGAAAGCAGGCGCCAAATCGAAAGGGAGTATTTGGGAGTCACCCTACACAAAAATTAGCAGAGATATGCTAGGAAAATAAAAGTGTGGGCATTAACGGCGGGCTTATCTTCTTTTTCCATGACTCTAACGTTTGGGAGGCCAAAAAGAACACATACTGTTCTGAGGAGCCGGTCACGGAAAGGAGCATCCTCTCCTTTACATTCACCGCTCCCCTCCTCAGGCTGATTTTGAGGTGTGGACCTCCAGAATTAAAATGCAAACGTACGCAAGCCAAGAAAACCCCACACTGCTACCGCGCCGCTGGGCAGCAAGCGCTGGTTCTTGGTTATGGGTTGAGATGACGAGCGCTGCCTGATTTCAATTCACCTGCGTTGGGTTTGGTTAAAACAGTAAACTGTGCCCAGGGAGAAAGAGAATATGATGTTTTCCATCCCAAGGAAGGAGCACGGAGGTCTCCGTTTCTGGAGGTGGGACTGAATTTTAAGGTGAGTGGTCAGAGACAGCTCAACAGGGCGGGTTTTCAGGCAGCGTGGGGTGCCCCTCTCCTCACTGCCCACCCCTGGCCAAGATCCCAGCCCGGGACCGTGACCCGTCCCCAGGGAAAACGCCAGCTGGAGCCAAGGGGAGGACTTAGGATTAACTCCAAAAAATCAGCCAGTCCCCCCCCACGCCCTGCAGGCAGCCTGCGGAGAGGACCAAAAGCCCTCGGGGCCAGGCAGAGGGACACCGCAGGCTGGCAGGGAGCAGGCAGGCAGCCCTGCCTGCAGTCTCAGCTGTGTTGGCAGCATCTGGACAAGCGACCCAGAGCACTCCCTGTCTCTGCTGGAGCCCCAACTCCGGGCTGCAGGAGCCCAGCCGGCTCTCAGAGCGGGACCGAGCCACGGCAATCAAGAGAAAAGGAGCAAAAGCAGCGGGAAGCCCCGCTGAGAAGCCCCCTTTTGTGTAAACACGCTCCGTCCTCAAACTAAAAATAAAGGCAAACCACAGGAAGGGAGTGAGTGCTTGGACAATATCCGATTTGGTGTGTGCCTGGGTGTGAGCTGAGGGAATGGGGAGAAGAGCCGGGGACTCCACCCAGCGCAACCACACAAAGGCAGCCGTTTAAGACCTTCAAGATGGACAGGCATTTCTGGAGATTATTTAAATCCAAATAACTGCTGCTTGGCAGATGCTCAGCCCTTTGGTATGTGCGCAGCACTTGGAAATGTGAAGCGAGGGAAAAGGCTGCCATGGTAGGAGCAGGAAAGGCTGGATGATCACACGAGGCCCATTTTACAGGTTCGGAGACCGAGACCTGAGGCTGTGAACTGAAACCCCATAAATCTGTCATAAAACAGAGAAGCAACCCAGGCAAGATATCAAGTGAAATCTTCCCAGCTCACGGGTCTGTCCTCAAAAATCACTTCTGCACTTCGCATCCCAGTCACTGAACCAAACCCAAAGTGACCGCACGCTCGTGAAGGCTGTGGGGAGCTGATCACCCAGGCTCGGGGGCAGGAAAGGATGCAGCTAAAACACACCGGGCAAGAATGGAAGAACTTCTGGATGGTGTAATATTTTGCCCAAGGCCGAGGATAATTGATTTCTCAGTCGACTGCCCATCTCAAAGCGGTCTCAAATGCTTCCCCACGTGCCACACAGCACCCCACCACTGCCATCAGCTGACTTTCAGGGATGGAGCTTCACTAACATCTATACGTCCCACCTGCACGCACCTGCGCTGCCCTGCAGGAGGGATGCTTTGCCGCCGGGTGCAATCCCACCCAAGAGACAAGCCTCCATCCATGCCGTGCAGAAAGCATGCAAGGCAGAGCAAGGAGGCTTCTTGAAGCCCGGCGCTCACCGTTGGTGCTGACACACCACTCAGAGGCCTTCTGGGGAAATGCAGGACTTGGGAGGAACCAACCAGTCAGCCTGGGCTGGAAACAGTTTTCTCAGACATAAGCAGTCTGTAAAAGCAGAGAAACCCACAGGTGTCCCCAGCCAGCCATATGGCTGCAGGTCCCACCGTACGGGCAGTGCTGCCCTGACGTTCAGGGCTTGGATCTGGCCACCATCAGCTCGATCCATGCCCTGGAAACCCTCTTCTCTTTAGCCAGCCTCAGCTAAACTGCAGCATCTGCAATGCTCAACCGCCTTGTTTCCCTTCCTTTCTCTGTTTTCTGTCAGAAGAAAATGAGATAGCGCTTGGCAGTGGAGGAAATCAAAGACGACTACATTGACCTCGACTTGGGCATGTTTTCTGCTGATGTTTGTATTCCTCCTGGTCCCATGTTCACTTTCCTACCATCAGCCCTCACCCCAAGCATTCATTTTCTCTCTACTATTAGAAAGGTCTCTGGGTCCCATTAAAGGTCTCCTCCGAGCACAACCGAAATGCAAACACCCCCTCCCCATTTCCTTTAGAAAACAACTTCCTATGAAACGCAGCTGTTTGGAGCAGGTCAGTTCCTTTCTCTGCAAAACACGCCACACCAAGCACAACCGTCCTCGTGTCATTCTCATTTGTGAGTCTTTTCTGAGACATTTGCCAGCATTCATGTGGGGCATTTCCTACACCCTAAATAGAAAATGCAAAAGCTTTTCCACAAGGCTCTCTCCAACCCCACCACCCTTGTACACCGTACCGGCAGCACAAAATACCGCAGCAGTGTGGAAACACAGCTGTGCCATCAGCACTATGAACACCTACATGACTTACCTCCTGCCACTCGACTTGGCAGCTGAATCCTAGCTCAATCAAAACTGAAGAACTTTCCTTTAAAATGCCTTTAGCAGGTCCCTTGCAACCCCTAAGGTGCTGCTGGACGCAGGGGAAGCCAAGAAAAAGGTGACACCTTCTGTTTACTCAGCTAATTACAATTTGTTATTGCTGGGGCGGCCGCTGCAGCACTCACGGACCCCTTCCACCGCAACTCCCCACATCTTGAGATGTGTCTCCCTGTAAGCACCTCTCAGGATGAGGACAGAGGGAAGGGAAGGGGGCTCGGGGTGCAAGGGGGGCTGCAGGTGGGAGCCACAACCCTCCACCTTGCCCAAGCTGGAGCCGCTGCTGCAGGCTGAAGTCAAGGCTGGGGAAGGGTAATGGGGAAGACTTGCACCCAAGGCTCCTTGAAACCCCAGCAGACACCTGCCCCAGCCCACCCAGCCCCCCTCCTCAGCTCCCCAACACAGTCCTGGGCAGCAAATCCAGCAGTGTGCAGCCCAGGGCCAGTGCCGGTGACATTTCTCACTACAGACAGGGTTTAAGTGACCTCTGGGGTCTCTGGAGAGAAGATCTCCTTAATGTCAAGTCACAATCCTCCATTTTCATGGGCACAATGCTTAACGGAGTTAGACAGCAGAAGGCTACAAACAGCGACCACAAATGCAGCCGCCCTCTTGTTACAAAACCTCCGAGCGCAATACAAGTATAACAAGCGCATACTTTGAGAGCTTGATTCCAGAGGTTAAACCCCCAAATTAGCGAGGCATCTTCAGTCATGCTCTGGAAATACTTACTCCTTGCAAAATTTCAGGTTGCCTCTAAAAGGCAAAGGCAAAAGACGGGACACATCTGGAAGCGCAGAACTCTACTTCTGCCCAGATGTGTAACTTCACAAAGACACCTAAGGAGAAAACCCTGAGGGATTAACGCCTCCTGACCCCACCGTGATGAACCCCCAGTTTTACCTGGATCAAGGTGTGTAAAGGACCCGATGACGAAGTCCAGCGTCGAGACGGCCAGTAGGAAGAGCAGCAGGAGCTGGAGTCTGATGATCCACTTCACCCCGGCCAGGTTGATCCCCAGCAGGCCCAGCAGGACAGCCAGGGAGATCCCACGCACCGCCCAGATGTTGCTGAGGCTCAGGACATCTGCGATGGACTCCGCAAAGCCAGTGATGTACATGGCACCTGCAACACACTGAAGGACAGAGCTCTGTGAGTGTCCCACGGGAAAACAAGGGATACCCAACCGCAGCCCCCATGCCGGGCTGGGGGGGACTCTGTTCAGACACACAGACATTTGCTGTCACCATACAATCTTTAATGTCACTTTGGCCTCCAGGGACTGAGCCTTATTGCTGTAGGACAGCACACTGCCAGGGCAGCATACCTACTGCCCGGGTAAGCAGAGAAGGTTGGGCACAAGGGCCAGCAGCCCAGCAACTTTCCACTGGATTTAAAATTTACCGTCCATTACTGCTCCAGGAGAAACCACACTGGCTTCCCTGCGTGAGAAAAGGATGAGTCAACCTCTAAATTTCTTCCCTTCTTCTGTTTCTCTGAAGGAAAGGGTCCCAGTTCAACACCTGCCTGAAGAACAGCAGTTTGCTTCCCCCTTCATTGCCTCCCAGGGGTTATTTTTAACTCAGTGTTTAGTTTGGACGTAAAGTCTGATATTTCACCGGCTCCCCATCTCGTCGCTGGAATGGAGCCCGCACTTTTGAGGCGAGCGCATTGTGCAAGCCATGCCCCCTGAGCTCCCGGGAAAGCTGCTTGTTCATCTTGCCACTGGGCAGGACAGGCGCTCTGCCCTGGGTGGCTGAGAGTCTGCAGGATGGGACATCTGCAGCACAGGTTCAGGCCTCAAGCCCCACTGCAGGGCAGGAAGAATCACAGAATCACAGAATGGTCAGGGTTGGAAAGGACCTCTGGAGATCATCTAGACCAACCCCCCTGACAGAGCAGGGTCACCTACAGCAGGTTGCACAGGACGGCGTCCAGGCGGGTT